AAATATCAAGTCAAGAATGTCGTGATTTCGTGTAGGCATGTGTACACGTTGTTGCCAACCGTGTATGTCAAAGGACCTAAGTATGCTTTCAAAGCACAGTGGGCCAGAATGTGTCGTCCAGTTGATGGTAAGAGGGTTGAAATCACCACATACAATTTTGTAAGTGAAGTCAAGCAAGGCAGCCTGAGCAAATGACTCACTTATGATAGTGTCAGTAAAATTAGGGGTGTTAGGTGCTCGATATATGCATCCGATCAGTATTTTACATTCATGAGTGTGCACAGTGAGCCATGTCGATTCAGGAAGTTTGCTGAGGACGTGGTCGCTATAGATTTCCGCTCTCAATCTTTTTGTTACATAAACAAGACAACCACCACCCTTCTTGGTGTCTCGATCACAGCGGAAGAGCTCATAGGTGTATATTTGTAGATATGTGTCTGTGGTATCGGAGGACAGTCAACTTTCCGTTATCAAAACAAGTGAGGGGTTGTTTAAAAGTAAAAGGGTGCGTAGGTGAGTCGTCTTACTTTGTACAGATCGAGCGTTGAGTAACATAAGTGTCAGGTACGGCGACTGTTTGTCTAGAAGAAGGGTATTATGTAAACCCAGTGGATTGTCTGTTTTGCCATGAGAAAAGGAAGAACTGGGAGCGTGGACTCCATATTAATGAGCGTTTAGTTTATTACCAATGAGGTTAATGCGAGAAGGGTAGTCGGGTGTTGTTTTGGTGAAATAAGTATGTCTAAGAGTGAAAGGTAGAGTTGAATGGTTAGGTAATGTGTTCGGGGAGTGATCAGGAGGTTCAGTCAAGGAGTTTTTAAGACTAGAGACAGTTATCGGAGTTGAGAAGGATGTGCCGCTTCCCATTAAATCGGAGTACATAGGCGGTCTCAGAATAGTGGGATTGTCGCCCTAAACACTTGGAGACCCCATAGCAGTAATGTTGAGGGGGATAGAGAGAAAAAGGATCAGATGGTGTATATGTCGAATTAGGGGGGACTAAACCGTTGTATTGGGCGGCTTGACTTAGACAGTGATGATGTCACAGGTATTCAGTGTTTGACAACGCTTCTACCAGTAACACCTTCTAATATATTTCGTTCCCGCCCAGAGAAATCAAAAGACAGAGTCGAGGAGATCGGAAGAGTATATTTGGCGATGACCAATATATCGGAATTCTCTGATCTAATCTGGCTAGCGATTGCGGTTGATGTTGAGCACGGCGTTACCACACGTGATCTGGTGCAGATGCCTGACCGAGCGCCTTCAGCTAGATGAGTCCACTAGAACATATGGTCAGCATCCAATGTCGAAAACTTACAGAGCTATTTATTTTAGGGATTTATTTACCGCTACAACAGTACCTAGAATCAGTAGGTGGGTTCCCAAGTAGGCCAACGTCATGGCTTCCTTGTGTGCAGTGAGCAATTTTAGTCCTGTCGTGGGTAGTATGGGGGTTGTATGTTTCTGGTAAGGAATGAAGGGATGCCTGTTATTGTTGCCAAGAGAGAGGTTTCAGTTGTGTATAGTTGTGTGCTGGTCCATGGAGCTTACAAGGTTCACACAATATGACTTATGGGTATCACTTGAAGGTGTGGTTCTTGTCGAGTGTCGTTTCACATTAGGATGAGTGGGTATTGCCAGTTCACCGTGTTGGTTGTAAGGCATTCTATTGCTATGAGGTGTATGTTTTGGGTTAGGGGTGCTGGAGAATTGGTGGGTTCTTACAGAGAGTTTGGTATTATTTCGTACAGCGGTGTCTGAGCGTCTGTAGCTGTTAGTGCAATTCCTGGGAGGATTATTTTTATGCTTTTTATCGGGGCCGCTAGGGCAATACTTGGACGGTATTGAGGCATAAGTGGATTGGCATTTTGGGGTAACTGAGTGTTTTGGCTGATGGTGAGCGGTTGCAGCTGCTTTATGTGAGGCCTTGTTCTTAGGAATAATAGCAGCATCCGACGTGCCTCCGTTTTTTGGAGGGGCAGTGTATGGTGTTTTAGGATTAGTGCAGTGACAAGAGCTGTAGCTGCCGCGGCTAAGTAGGCGGGATTGATCAATTTGTTTTCCATTGCAGATTCGACGCTGGATAGCGGTCCTGTCATGAATGATTCTAATCTTTTTAAATGTTGGAATACGCCTCAGTAATGACTGATTATTGAGGAGGTGATTAGCTTCAGTGGTACTACCAAACTGAAATAGAATGGGACAAGAGGCTTTAGTGTGTGCTTTACGCAATTTTCTTGTTACGCGCCAAGATTGCGACAATTCACATTCTTGTAGTAGAGTATTTTTAGCAATCTTTACGTTCGCACTGTCAGGTATATTATACACAATGATATTCTGCATACACTGGAGTCTTTTCAGCACTTCAGTTGATATGTGGTCAATTACTTTTTCATTTTTTCATAATTTATAATACCACGTGAAAAAAGTTACAACCTTCAAAAGCGCGCGTGATTAGGTTATATGTCCGTGAGGATCTCAGCCTAGCTGATCGTATTAAGAGACGAGCTGCAGAAGCGGAAATAAATGAGCGCCGCCAAAACGGTGAAAGAAACCTCGTTCTTAAGGGTTTTCAAATTATAAAAGTTCGGAGCAAAACGATCCCCAAGCCACTCTGGGTGGCAAGGGAAAGCTCTCCACAGACTTAAAGATATGCTACACAGATGCTCGCAGCCTCCTAAATAAAATGGCGGAGCTCAAGTCAGTGGTGGATAAAGAAAAACCGGGCATTATTGCTGTCTCGGAAACTTGGTTAACGTCAGAAGTATTAGATAGTAAAATCCAGTTGACTGGTTTCATAACCAGTAGGGCTGATAGACTAAACCGAAGGGGAGGCGGGGTTATTGTGTACACGAAAAGTAGCCTAACCATAAGATTAGCTGAGACAGTAGCACATGTTTCAGGGACATGTGAACTGTTAAGATGTAAGTTGAAATGCCGACAGCACATATTGAAGTAGTTGTAGTATATCGCAGTCCAGAATGTGTAGCAGATGATATTCTCCTAAGTAAACTTAAGTCCTGGTGTAACAACGGTAAGTCTTGTAGTAGGCGACTTTAATGCACCATATATAAACTGGGTTAACTTAGAAGTAGGGTCATCGATATCGTCGTTCGACTGCAAACTGTTAGAAACCTCGATTGGACTAGCATTATTCCAACACATTGGAGATCCCAGAAGATACGACTTAAGAAACTCTTCTTCTCTTTTAGATTTAGTCTTCACACACGGTGATGACATTGGTCAAATGGCTTTTCTCGCACCGCTTGGAAGAAGTGACCATGCAGTCATCTTATTCAAATTCATGGCTGAGATTGCTTGTCAAACAATTGCGCCGGCCCGTCCTAACATATGGAAGGCAGATATGCAGGCAATTAACTCCGCAGCATCGGCTGAGAACGCTACAGATCGATAAGAAACGAGTGCATAACAAACATTCGGGAAGCTCAAAGAAAATATGAAATGCAGCTGGCACAATCTGCACTCAAGCAGCCCAAGAGAATATTCTCGTACATAAACTACAGAACGGGGATGCCTCATTGGATTCCCAACCTAATTAAAGTAGGAAGTGAATCTGAAATGACAGAGGAAGATCAGGAAAAAGTAGAGGTTATGGCGGACTATTTTGGGGCAGTTTTCACTCAGGAACCTCCTCTAGAGAAAGAACCAGACCCAAATACAGAGTCAACAAACCACCTGCTCACCGTCGACTTCGACCAAAACGATGTGCTTAAGGCTCTTAGCACCCTAAACATGGAGAAGTCAACAGGACCAGATGAACTACACCCCAAAATCTTGAGACATATTGCCCAATATATCGCGGCCCCACTGACCATGATATTCAATGTCACTTGACCAAGGTGTGTTACCTATGGACTGGAAGGATGCAGTCGTCACTCCCATACATAAAACAGGTCCACGACAAGTTCCATCGAATTACAGATCCGTAAGTCTCGCCAGTGTTGTAATTAAAATACTGGAAAGAATAATCAAACGGACCATAACAGCATTTATGAAAACCAATAACTTGCTGAACATGGCACAACATGGTTTTAGAAAGAGTCTATCCTGTACAACGAACCTCCTTATAGCTAGGAAATTCTGGATTAATGCGCTAGACAACGGAAACTCAATGGATTTTGTCCACATATATTTCAGTAAGGCTTTTGACAAGGTGCCAACTAATAGACTGCTATTGAAGTTGGCAAACCTTGGTATTGCCGGACCTCTTTTAAAATGGATTAAAGATTTCCTAGTAGGTCGTAGACAAAAAGTAAGATTAAGTTCCAAGTGCTCCATCTGGAGAACAGTACTTAGTGGTGTACCCCAATGTTCCGTCCTAGGTCCTTTACTTTTTATATTGTACGTTAATGATCTTACAAGTATAGTACAGTCTCCAATGTTACTATACTGTGATGATTTAAAAATTTGGCGAGTAGTAACTGTAGACAAAGACGCGTTTACTCTTCAGGCGGACTTAAATCATATGATAAACTGGTCTAAGGAGTGGCTGATGCCTTCCATTCCATCCAAAACCATCCGGAGCGCTGTAATATCACAACCCGTTGACAAATCGAAAGTGGGTTAGATCTTCTCAAGAGATTATCGTGATTATTTTTCCTCCTAATTCTCGAAGGTCAGTTTCCTTGTTATTCAGCACCACGTTCTAGTTTTCACGATTTGTTGAATATAATCCAGATAGAACTAAATGAAAACATATCGGAAGTAATGAGCACAAACTAAGAGTGGTGAATAGATCTAACGCCTATTAATGCAGCGGATTGAACTATTTGCTTTTAGTTTTGACTTCGAGACTGTTTTATCCTCAGGCTTTTTTCACTGCTGATTACAGTCTATTGCTTTCTTTACTAAATGTAAATGCATTATACGAGCTTGCTAGGTCTCCAATTTTTCAGCTTCTATTCTCAGTTCTCTTCACTCACACTACTTTGCATGCTATGACTGAACAAAAAGTACCATCTGACCAAACTAACCCACAACAATAACCCGCTCGTTTTAGTGTTTCCAATCGTAACCTTGAGTCCTCTTTCCTCTTATCATACATGTCGTTCGAGTAGGTTTTTCTTTCCTTAGTTAAGATTGATAAACTTCTTGTACACTACTGATGTATATTGTAGAATCCAATTAGGTTTTGTTGCTAAACTGACATATGTCAACAGAAGGAAAGGTATCTTTTTTCGCCCTATATATAGGATCAGAGTGAACTATTAAAATAGTTCACTTTCAAGGGGATGATGAAGAGAAGCAGTTTGTAGAAGCTGATCTTTATTCCTATGTCGTGTCGCTCTCTACATTTCGCTTTATTCACTCTTGGTTAGAGGTGCATCTCCTTTTGCACCTACCCTCTAATCAATACCTAATGTAAACAACACTTCTCAACTCTCGACTAATGGGAAATCTTAGACTTCGGTTTTCTGATTGTCACAATATACATATTAAATATATGCGTTTTGAGTAGTTATGTTGACACGACAAAGTTTATCTAGTTTATAAGAAAATTGCAACAACGGTTGTTTCCGACTATTAAGTTATATAAATTTCCTATTTTTGTTTTTGTGTTTATTTACAAGCCACTTGTAAGTTGCAGATAAAGGTCTTAAAGAAAACCTGGTATCTTTATGATGTGATTCAGTATGTCTTTTGTACTCGCTATTGAATGCTGTATATATATAAATCTTTCAGCCCAATTTTCGACTCGCAAATTATTAGTCTCGTGCTATTTGTATTAGGGCGTCTCAGTCTTCCTTCGGTTAATTATGTCTGACGTATCTTTGCTTTAAACAGTTGTTCTACTAAAACCATCAAGGATGGGTTTTCGTATAGGTACAAGAAAATGCTGGCAAGAGTTCATATTCGAAATTTAGTGTCCTATTAATCGAAAGTTCTAATTATTGCTTGAATCTATAATTCCACAGATTGAATTGTTAGGATTTATGTTGACCTTAGTACTTGACATTTATATATTCTGTAAAAAGTGCATTGCATCCAATTCATGTTTGAGTCAGATAAAAAAGTTATAAAACGAAACTTTTCAGCTACGAATCTGCTCTTTCTTCACGAGAATCGGATGGGGTAGATAAGGAATTGCAGACATTCATACAAACAATACAACAAAGAGCGGAGTTTCAGAATCATGTCAATCATCTGACTTCTGTGTGTTGGGATAAGTGTGCTGTTGGATACCCGTCTTCGAAAATGGATGCGAAAAAAGCAAATTGTATCGAAAACTGTACAGAACGTTACTTGGACGTTTCAATGCTTCTTCGTAGTAGGTTTCAATCTATGTTGGCGAATTTGCAACAGTAACATGCTTTAACAAGTGAAATACTTTGCTTGTGATCATATTTGGACTCATGTACATAGTGTAGTAAATGTCTTTATTTTCTTCTAACCAGAAACCTTGTTTGTGTACTTAATTGCACTGGTCATGCAGACATTTGTTCGTATGTTTAATTGTAAGATCTAGTTATTAACTCATGTTTTACTTTTCTATATAAACGGAAGTTTATCTGATAAAAATATTCCCGTTTTTGTACTTCAAGTGGTAAATACCCTAACGCGGTATCACATTCAAAAATTAGTGAACAAAGGATGATTTTATCTTCAACACGCTGATTCCATTAAGCTTGTAGCCGTTAAATTAAGAGGATCTACCTGAGGTGCTTAGATACACTAGTACAACCTGAAACAAGAAAATATTGGGTCTTATTTGATTCGTTTCTAGTCTTCTATACCAGCTGATAAAACACAACAGGGAGACCTCAACTAGACACTTAAATACCGGCAGATAATGGTTTACAACAGATTTAGTACTGTTGCCTAGATCTATACACGGCATAAACGTTGTTCTATTTTTTTTAGTAGATTTTCAGCCAGATACTGGCAAATTGCGAAAATCCTTCAATGTATTAAGATCGCGCTTAACATACGTAGGATGGTAATATTTAAAGGCAATATATTTACCTGTAGATATGCAAAGTCTGCTATATATTGCGAGTAGTTTGTTTTTATAAAAAGGAAGTAAATGCTTAGCGATGAATAACTCAGGAAAGCTTGAGAATCTTAAATAAATGAATACATGGAGCGCTGGTTTGGTAGTCAAGGCATTTTACTGAGTTCCTAAGTCACAGCTCTGTCCTACCTTCTTTGGTTTGGGCAGCTGGTAAGTATCATAACTGATGAACAAGTTAATTATATTTAGTATCTAGATATCAATCGACGTGTCTACCACCATATGAAAGCTGATAAACTACCACCGTTTAGTATTAGACATAAAATCAGTTATAGAAACCCAACGATATTACAAGTATAGACATTTTTTTTACATGTATATTGATTACAAGTAGTGTTCTCTTGAAATAAAGTGAGTTATGTACACCGATATAAAAGTAAGAGTTACTTGTTGTCTCAGAATTGTGACTGCGCAGATTTCTTTTCGCATCCAAATCGTTTCGAATTTTTGGTCAGTTTGTCATGTTCTCTCAGTAAGCAGAGCTATAAAAAACGAGGTAATAGCACAACATGAACGTGTTGCAAAAATGTTAAAGATGTGATAGGACACCAGGATCGTTTGTCAAATTTATGGAGACTGTTCAGTAGTTATATTTCAAATTATAAATCCAAATGATTCTTAAGAAACCTGCAGATTAAATTACTGGTAGCAGGTATCTAGGACTACTGTGAGAATCTAGATAAGGGTACTTAGTCTCTAGGAAATTAGCGATCCAGCGCAATCTCCTTGCTAGTGAGACATGACAACTATATGATTATTTTTCTCTTGGGTATCGGCGAACTTGAGTCATTAGAATGATGAACTTCTAAAAAGCAGTAGGTCTAAGAATAGATCATTTGGATTTATTTTGGCCTCACAATAACTGGAAGGCTGTTTCGTGCAACGCTGCACGACAGTACGCAAGATCCCGCTACCGACTGAACTCAAAACCGAGGTTTGGGTCTATCTACTCGAGTTGTAGATCACAGTCGAGATTTAGTAGTACACACTTCCAACTTCTGTCAGTTTCCTGATGTCAGCCCTTGTAAACAATATTCTGATTGCAGAAAATCTACACACCGTCCATCTTAATGGACGGATTGTTATTCAGAATGGTGCTCTTCAGGTTTTGCTAAATTACCTTTCACTGTAAATCAATAGTTGATTGGGATTATTACATATAATGGACTTACATTGATGTGCGTTAGCTGAAGGTTGTGTAGTCATATCTATCCACCTAAAATCAAAATTAATATGAAAATGTTGAAAAGTCAGTTAGTCTTATGTAACTTAGAATCTAGCATGTATGTCCATTGCTTTGAGTTACCATCATCACAGCAACACAGCGGGATAAGATTTTCAAGACAAATCACGAAGAAGTAGAAAAATTAGGTATATAAAAAGATGGGAAAAGTATAAGGGGATCTCTGAACTCAGGTTCTGTAACAAGACAAAGAGTGAATACAACTGTACCATCACGAAAGGTTTTGAGGCATCATCCAAAGTCTAGCCATTGTTTACGATATCCCGAATCAGGTAGTTTACAACTCTCGACATAATGGTTTATATTCGTGTCGGCGGATTACCGGAGTTTTAGTAGGAGGATGTGGAGCTAAGCTATGTCGGGTGCAAAGAAGGTACTCGCCGAAGGTAATGGGAGATGGTCGCGCAAAGTCATGAATTGGTTGAAGTTATGCTATCACACCACTGGATCCGGGCTCAGTGAGCTGAAGGTCCTGGGTTCGGTTCCAGGTTGTGGAGTCTTACATACCCACTGCTCAGGAGTCGCATGCTTGAACGAAACGGCCGTCCAGGGCTTCAGTGGTGATCTAACTTAGATGGGTTTGTGATTTCAGTGAAGTCCAGAAATCTTCACGACCCTATACTGACAAGTTAAAAAGATTGTATTTGATTAGTCAATATCTTTACACAGTCTGTCTAGATTTACACTAAAGACTAGAGAACTGGTTTCATAAAAGAAACGTATTGACTGACTTGTTTCGCAATGGTGATAAATCTTACATTATAGTAGTATTTAGGTCTGTTTTCATGCACGTTTGAAGCTATCATACTAAAAAGTCAGACCTATTCGATACAAGGAACAAAGTTAAAAATTGTAGTATTCTGCTGTGTAGTACAAACTACTGGTCATACAAGTTAGTACTTCGAACAACCTGTAGCTCTGGCTAACCGCATCTACGAAATAAAATACGCTGCAAACAATCTTAGCAAGTCTCTTCAATCTGTTCTTCCATGGTTCACAGCAAAAAGTCGAAAAATGAGAATTTCCAGCATCAGCCTTATCTGGGACATTGTTTTGTAGAGCGAAAGGTTTTGCCAAGGATAATTTTAATGCGAAGTAAATGTGGTTATTTTATATGGGGAAATAATTGCAACATAATTAGAATGTGAATATTTTAGCTAGAGAACGAACTCAAGTTTCTCAGTATCATTAATCCTAATCATGATTCTTACTAGTTATGGGCGACCATTGCATAGATCATTAAATCCATAAATTTGTTCCGAAAATAGCATTATTATCTTTGCAAAACGATGCACCTTGTATTGTTTTAAGGATATTTTCGTGAGAAAAATATGATGGTCATAGGACCCAATTACTGATAAGATTTCATTTGTTCAAATATACGTTGGTTGCACATGTTTATACAGTGTAAACTCTTTAGGTCAATGTATCAATCTCTCACTGCACAATTTAACCTGTCCCCAACTTTTGTGAATAGTAATCGGGAAATACCATTAAAACGGTGCAATTACACATTTGCATAGCTTCTCTTATTGGTTTGTTATCGTGGCAGCTGACACCTACCTGTTGACCCTAGTTGGTTTCAACCATTTTTATTGACAAGAGAAATGGCATTTGCAAATATTGTATTCTAGGAATTCGGCTTTATGCAAAAAATATGCCTTGTCACTTTTCATATACTTGTACACTAAAGCTAAAGAAGCTTGGGAACTAAAGAGCAACGAATGTCTTCATTCTCAAGCGAGTTTTCCCACTTGTGATAATAGATGAACGTTGGCGCTATATAACAACACTAACTGAATTTGAAAATATTAACTGTTAGATTCTGACTCAATGGTTAAATGGTATTGTTTTCAAAGACAAGATACTGAATATTCGAAAGTTAAGATAGTTATCAGATATTACGCAGCTATCAAATGAATTTTTATCGGATGTGTAAGTGAATACTCAATATATTTTATTCTAAACAAAACTCGAAAGATTTTCTAGATCACCACTTACATCATGATCTTTACAATCCTGAATAGGAATTTCTTTCTTAATATACAAACACCCATTATTTCCTGAAGTTTATTAAACACGGAGTTTTTGTGAAGTTAATTTAACTATTCATCCTTTTAGACTTCATGAAACTGTATAGTACAGAATAACATTGATGAAAAATAGAGCCTATTCCATGAATCATTTTTGTGTTAGAAATAGATTAAAAGCACTTAGAAGTCGATAAGTTCTCGAACGTTTCACCGTCTTATAATGATGAAAGATACTTTCATTATTCAGCTGGAAAATGTTATCAGCTACAGCTTCAAAAAATCAGTTTAAAATAATAATACAGCTGACGTTATTTTTAAGACAAATAAAATACTGCTGATCAAACAAAGGATATAAAATGTTTACTACGAAAACATACATGGTGTAATCGTCATAACTTACGTTTGCTCTGTTTTGCGCTTATGCTTCCTTTGTTTGCGAATAACAAATACAATAGTTAAAACCAAAAGAATAAGTCCAAAAATTGATACTAGAATAATACAGAAGAGAACATGATATTTACTATAAATCAGTAGGGTGATCGGTAAAATAAATTGTTTTAAAACATAGAATTTAAACTCAGTTAACTGAAGTAAACAATAATACATTGCATATCTCCATAGAAAGTGACTTGGATTGTGAGAATAACAAATATAGCGGTATTAAATACTAGTTAATTTATTTTATTAGGTACTTCACTAGTATTCTTTGTTACAGTACCTCATAACTGAGATAACAATAACAATGATGTATCCTTTGGAACGAAGATAAGTACTGAATTATTATTGTAGACTATGTGGCAATTCAGTAATATCTATATACTGGACCCACAAATCCCTGAGAATTGATACTCTATTTAAAAATTTATGTCCCACACAGTGGTTTTCTTAAGTTATGCTAATGATAACAACTGGATACTAGTTGTAGTAGTGTCCTGGTGATTTCAAAACACCCACTTTCTTGTAGGATTGCATTCAGAATAATGTACAACAGAAACTAGAAATAGAGTACATGAAACGAAGTTTGAACAAAGATTGATTAGTGTTCAAAATATCATGATATATAGCAGTATATATTACTACTGTACGTAATTAAATGAATACACTTTAAATAGGATTTCTCTGTTATACGTAAACTAATAGGAATTTGAAAAAGTCTGAATAATATGAATGTTATTCTGATTCACGATATGGGGGTTTTCTAAATTTTAAAGTATGAGTAAGTTGATACAGCTATATCTTGAAATGTTACGTGAATGTTTAACAGATTCAGTTATCAATGAGCTGAATAAGTCATTATGTAATCATCAAACGAATGATATATATATACGGTACATTACGGTCTTATTGTAACGAAGTTAGTATTTCAATTATAGTTTCCTGGACTGAATTATCGTTTATTACAACACAAACTTATCATATCAGGAGTTGAAATCTAATTTGTACTGTCCTTTTTACTGTCAGTTGTAGCTTTTTTATCCAAATAAAGAAGGTATAAAACAAACAGACAGAATTATTGAATGTCAGAATACTATGTTTAATTATTTATTTTAATTTCAACCCGTTACTTACTAGTTATAATAATTGCAAATAATGGAATAGGGATACCGTTGATTCTTCCAGTACCTATGTTGAATGGAAAAAAATTCAAAAATTCGTCTAATCACTAACTTTTCTTATAGTCATATTGTGGATCTTAAATCTCAATATAATCTATTAGCCACTAATTAAGGGAAAGATTATGTATTAATTTTAAGTAGGATTTCTATCCATTTGACCTTGAATTGATTCAATGTAAACTTCTACCCAACATAACAATTTTTATTAACTGATACATTATGATTTTTCGTTCACTTTAGCTTTATGAAGTATAATATTCAATGGTATTTCGCGTTCAAGTAATGGTTGTTCAGCTTGATAATTTCTATGATTAATAACCACTAAGTTGGATCAGTATAAACTTGGTTTTGATTTAAATCTTCTGGAGTCTTTACCAAAACAAATCTTCCTTACGAGACGTTTTTCTCTTCCATTGCGCAGGGAATTATTTATGGAACTCGTTTCGAATTGGAAGAATATCCAATAAAACTACACACCTAGCCAAATCCTACCAAGCTGAGTAGTTTCCAATTCTGTGAGTGAAATACAGAAAGAAATGATCGATCTTGGACGTAAACGTGAAATGTTAATAGACTACACAATTACGATCAGATTCACATAATTTAAGAGCTGTATACATTGTTTTTAATGGATCTGGATCAGTGGCAATCATTATACCAATTAGTTAAGAGGTAAGAAGGTTGAAGTCCGATCAAAATGAAGGGATATTTATTTGAACGGCTTGAAAAACATCATTTGCTCATTAACATTCATTCAACACCAAATAATATATACCAAGGTATTCACGGCAATCAATAATTAACAAAGATCAACTTCAACATTTCGTTAAAGCTAATCTGAATATTAGAAGAATATATTTATTAGCAGTCGAACAATTCTCCACGAGTACACAGTTTAACATCTAAAACATTCCACTAGTTGATGACAATCAGAAGTGATGTGAGAGTCATAAATGCGTAAAGTAGCACTTGATTAATTCAGTTGGCAAATTCTTAATATTTTCCACTCATATAATCAATAATGTGAGTACCTTTTTGATGAAGACCTATCCAAATTAATCTTTAAATATTCATAGAATAACTTGATTCGAACATATTTTTATTTTACAAACTGACTATAATCCATCCAACACTAAAAAATACTGATTAGAATTATGGGTTTTTTCATAACATCATTACGAATTTTATTAAGTAAACTATACTAGTAAAAAGATGAGAGAAATATTCACTACTATACTACACTTACACAAATAACCATTTTCATCGGATCCATCATGACAATTTGCAATTGTGTCACATGTCAGAGAATCGGGTATGCAATTAGTAGCCGCATCCCAACAACGAAACGTATCTGATGGACAGTTATATGATGGTCCTAAAACTGTTAATTCATGTCAATTATAAGAAGTTAACGAAGCGATTAATAATAAAATTTATATAACAATAACTGATAAGTAGTAAATTATCCTGTGAGATGAACTTCCTGCTGATGTAAAAAGTCAGTGGAAAATGTATTTAATTATGTAATTTTTCGTCAGTGGGACAAGTTATATGATGTCGTTATAGTGACAACTGAATGCACTGCTTTTAATTTTATACACGGGACTGGCAGTTCCTATTGGTCGAATAGAAGCAATTAATTTCATCCGTTTTTGTGGATAACCGGTTGAATCCCATCATATACTTTTGAAAAAACCCATCATGATTAATATATAAGTTAGCAATTTACCTTTTATGACAAAAACATTTGGTTGCATGAAAATATACTAGATTTCAGACTGCAATCATTACACGGCTACCATACTACTTGAATGCAATAATACGTCAGGCATTATTCAAGCAATTATTAAGTTATAGTTTTATTCTGATCAAAAAGAGAAAATATAGGTGGATTTATTAAACTTCTATTCAGTATTTATCAGTATAGGATTGTGGAGATGGAGTTTTAATTGAGATTATGAATCCATCAATGTTAAACCACCAATTCAAGATATTGAGCAATCATCTTCCATTGTCTTCGGTGGGTAACTACCTCACAGTCGACATTGTTGAACTTCATACTCTAGTTAAGGTCTATAAACTTGAGACAAATAAAACGTAACTGAAAACGAATTTTCAACAAGATTCATTTTTCCGGGTGAAGGCTGACAAGTTTCGTACGGAATGGGGTGCTGGGGAGTGAGATTTATAAATTTCTACCCTTTCTATTTTTTCGAAATTTACTCATATGATTGGTTCGATCTAACTTTCTTATTATGTGATCCAGACCAATTCATGTAGTCTATATTTCCCTAATATCCCTCCTTTTTTTGATCGGTTAAGTTCTATGGATAATGCCTCATTTTCATTGGATGGTTCTAATCGAAATAAACAAATATGCCAGTAAATTATTATAATTAAGAATTTAGGAAATCAATTGGATGTCGATATAATCGTTTTGCTTATTATCAAAGCAATAGTACATATAATGAAATCACATAGACGCAAGTAGTGATAGTAAATAGCATGAAAGTGCGTTGTAATGTCACTTAAAATGAACTAAAGATATAAACATTGTTTACCAGTACAAAGAATTCATTTGATCCATTATGTTTAATAGTATTACTCTACTCAAAAGCAACATTTGAATGTGCTTGTACAAACGATTACTTCAAATACAATTTTTTATAACCATTATCAACTAATATCAAAGAATATATTGTCATATGGTTAAAATATCTTAATTTTCGAAACTCGAACTTTTATGCATTAATAACAGAGAGGTTTTAGGATTTGACAAACCTACTAAGGAGTATTACTAAACTGTGAATGAAAGACTGATAATAATTACTAGAATTAAATGAAAAAGATTGCAAGAAATAATACTCTATGTTGTGACTTTTGGTCCGGCCTCTTATCACGTGATCAATCCACCAATCAAAATACGACTTATACAATCTTAGCACTGTGCCAAACCAATGACGTTCGACCGGTATGGGCAGCCCAGCGTCTTTATTGGTCCTATGTCCGCCTAGCCCGTCCACTTGAGTCCAGAACACCAATACCAGCTCCCGCTATGCGAATCGAATCATTTATTTCAGACATACTGGGTTTATATATCAACCAAACAGACCGCAACGCACCATAAAATAGGAAATAACATTCATACACAATAAAGCCAAAAAATGACTGTGAACGTGGGAGGCAGTAGTCAATAAACTGAACATGGCTTAAGAACAGTAAATCGTACAATAATAACTCACAGGTCAAAATAAAGCTTACAATAAGAGGAATATAAATATACATAATCTAATTATTGAATAGTTATACCATAAGAATATATAAATAATATTAGTCCATTAATAATTCTCAGAAGTTATTCGTGATTTAATCTTCGCTCGGATATAACACTGTAGAACAAATATTTCAATAAAAAATAGTAATTTTCATTATCACCAGTCATTCAGACACTGAACTCAGTTTTTTCAGTTGTGTAGTTACTTCTAGATTCTCCCGCTAAGAAGAAATTTAAATATTACTTAAATATCAACTGAGTCACCAGAAATATAAATGAGATAGAAATAGGGGAGATCTAAAACTACTCAATTGTCAACTGTTGCACAGATAAAATATGCATAATGCCGAAATGGTGTAGTACAAGTTTTCAGTGGAGAATATACTTCATGCAAACGAATCTTGTGAAATTGGGAAGTTCATTCTAAATAAGTACAATTTTATAGTGATCATAGATACTAGTTTGCCTGAAAACAAATTAACCCAATCAACAATAGGTGAAAACTACCCCTTTTTAAGAGAGTTATCAATGAGACGTTCTTTACTTACACCATCTAAGCTAAGAACAATTAAATGATTAGAGCAAAACTAAAGGTCCTGGGTTCGAATACCGCATGCATGTTTGTGGATTCATACTGCTGAGGAGTCCCTTACTAAGACAAAACGGCCATCTAGTGCTTCTAGATTTTCAGTGGTTACCTAGCACTGATCGGTTCATGAATTCAATGAAACAATAGAAAGAATGTAGACGTTTCAGTAAAGGAAATGTTCTTTCAGACAATGGCATTTTTTAAACTGTACAAACGTAATTACACATAATTTTATCATGTGTAGTCTATAATAAAATATAATATTTACTTGTAGGGTGTTATAAATTTAATTACGAATTTAATATACAGTTCTCATTTCGTTATAACGCTGATTGAATCATGTAAGTGTAAATTATTCATCTAATGTTGCAGTAGAATGATTCATGTAATATGTACGTACTATTGTACGCACGGTGAAGATTTATGAAATTTACGAAATAAGACTCTTATTAATATGATAAAAAGTGTCTGGAAGTTCATATGCTTCTCATTAAAAAGTTCATGTTTTAGTGATCAGAATATTTAAAAAATTTATCCAAGTCAGATGATTCACGTTTTTTTTTATAACAACCAGACGAAATGACTCATAGTAGCGACCTATGAAATAGGATGTTTTTCTTTTAAAAATTGCTAAAAGTTAAATAAATTTTGTTTAGGATTTTTGTGTCGAAAATCGATAATAAAATAGTGATGCGCAATTAGTTTAAAAATAATTTTAATGAATATTTTGTTATATGCGGACGAGAATAAATGAATGGCAACCGTTAGGAATTATTTATGGACTAATATTAACATATTTTCTTATGGTATAACCTATTAAGTAACTATATTATGTCCATAATTATATTCATTTTATCATAAGCTTTTATTTGACATATTAGTTACTGTTATACGATTTACTGTTCTCAAGTTCTTTTCAATCTATTAGTCACAGTTTCTCACAATCACAGCCACTTTTTGTTCTTGTACAAATGTTATTTTCTATTTTACGGTGTGCTGTGGTCTGATTTACTTGTATATAAACCAAGTGTGTTTGAAATATATGTGGTTCGATGGAACGGAGGCTGAGATTTGTGTTCTAAACTGGGTTAAACGAAAAGCTACTACGTCAAGAACCAATAAGAACTCAGAGGTGACTCTCGGCTGCTCCTGCTGACTTAGGCGTCATTGGTCTGGTCAGTAGGTTTGTGACTCTAATGAGCAATCGTATCGCGCGATATATTAACAGGGCTATACCAGTACACAGATCTTAGTTATGCAACTACAAAGATTCATAAATCAAAGTGTGCTGTGACTGCATTTTATGTTGCTTATTCAAATGATAAAAATGCTTATGACCTAGCTATCTGACTTCCTGATATGCTGATCGAAAGTGTGAGAAAAAATTGAAATAGCCTATTGAAAGTGCGGTGAATACAGTAATGGAGTTGGTAGATTTGTTGATAGTGGCTTAAAGAAGACAGGACTTTGTGATTTACATTTATTTGTTGAAAGAGACTAATAATTTTAAACATACAAGGTTGGTGACTCGTCTTTAAAAGTCAAACTTCCTATTAAAAAAACCCCAAAAATTACAGAAATTCCTTCACTTTTTTACTATTTATTTGATAATCGAATATTCCCATAATATTATGTGTTAAACATTAAATGTAGGACAGTGTTTAACATTGAAGTTATAGATAGATGATAGGAATCAACAGCTAAATAAATATGCACCCGAAGTTCATGGTTCCAATGAGTCTCCAAGCCTGTATCGAAAACAACAAAACACGGGGCGGTTATCATAAATTCCATTGCTAACTACCATCCAAAATCTAACCGAGATGTGAATGAAGGTAACGTGATGGTATTTATCAAAATCTATAAGTCCTGAAACAAACTGAGTAATATGGTCCCGATTATTGACAACCGGAAAATCAAGTCCATGGAACTGATAACCTCTTAAAAGGGTTCAATGTTTACTATTTACTTGAAAAAAATCAGAAGCTTGATTCCCTGATTCGAATCGCGTGAGAAGTACCTTGTCTGAAATAAAGCAAGTTCAGTTCTTTTAAATAAAAGTAAGTGGTTAGCGAAATAACCGTAAATCGAATTATACAACTTTTGGTTTGTATATAAGTTAAATATTCAAACATTTTCGTAAAGATGTGATGATGATGTCCAGGTTGGTGTTAAAGCGTCGGTAAAAACAAACACTTCCACAAATAACAATCTATATAATTTTTTCCTTATTTGTTGTCCTTTCAAGCTGACTGGAAAGTGTATATACTGTCATACTGATAAACCTGACAAATAACAATTAGACTTTAACTTATCCTATAACTTCATCAGTTCAATAATCACGTTGTAGCACACTCATTTTATATTTACGATTTGTTTTGATAAATCTAAAAACATGTTTATTTTCTAAGTCAGTCAGTCAGTCAGTAACAACGTAGAACTTCGTACGTACGTACATCAGTTCGAGTTGCCACACCACATTAGCACAGAGAAGCAGTTGTCGATTCAAATCCCATAGTGGTAGAGGTAATAAGAGTATAAGCAGTAATCGGGAAGATTAGGGTTTGGAGATGTTATTTATAGAGTATAATCCAGTGAAATAAATTTGGAAAGAGGAAAAAAGGGGCATGAAGAATTCAGAAGATTAGAATTTGAGAGAACACAGAGAGTGGATGCACCTGCGCCATTGCGAACGATTTTGAGCCATGTCATTCAGGGTCTCTAACCATCGGTTGCTATCATCTCGCGGTCCCCAACCAGGTAGTCTACACCTACCAACATGACTCAGTTCATTTGTCAGTGACTTCATGGACTTGTGCCATGTTTTGGTTTGGCCGCCCCTAGCTTTCTTCCAACCTACTCCTATACCACTGAACATAGCACGTCGAGGCAGTCGGTCGTTGGGCATACGTAACACGTGTCCCAGCCATCTCAACTGATGAAGTTTCACTACTTCATCAATTGATTTGCCATCCTTACCTAGTACCCGTTTCCTAACAACTGTGTTACTTACTCGATGGTCCCAGGATATACGAGCAATGTTTCGAAGACACCATTTCACAAATAAAATACAGAAAGATGCAATTAATTATTTATTGGATAAAGCTAAGTGGATAAATTTACCATCAGTCTTCTAAATTGTGAGCTTAAAATTTCTTTCTACTTTTCATTCTGAGAATTCATTCCCTCTTCTCGATTAATATTCTCAATAATAATTTTTAATACAATCGACACTACAAATGCTTCTACTACTTTCATATTCATTTTATCTTATCGTGATTACATGACGTAGCGAATTGAACATGATTAACATGCCTTACGTGTTTTAAGTTACTTATGACTAACTGAGTGAAGAAAACCAATGATGGGGTATAAGGTATAAGCGTAGTATCGAGTTGCATTAGAAGAGAGTGTTTACCTATTTATACTTAGAAGATAAAGAATGAAATGCTTAGATAAGTTATTTTAGAATTAGTCGAAGCTATCTCTCTAATTAATGATCGATTCACAAACTCTATTATGTAAATAGATAACGAAATAGTTTAAATTACCGTATGATGATATTACAAATTGATAGGCAACATCTGATGCAGCAGAATTAGCTGGGTCAAATAAAATTTGTATTTTTAGATTTGATGATGATGTATGCACGACTTTATCTAGCATAGAAGGATAATTCGTACAGTTGGCTTGAAACTAAATACACACAAACACACAGAAAAAGAAGGGAAAGTATTTGGTCAAGGCACTGCCAAATAGATATTCAATATTAGATAAGTAATCTAGGCTATAGATGGTATGATTACATTTTGAGTTTTGGCTTGCCATGGGAAATAAGTATTTTTCATCTTTGAAATTCGTCGGTTGTCTGTACCTTCGCCTCAGTGTTAATATTCACATTAAAGCTCGAGTTCAGTACCCATTGCTTCCAAACCCTACAAATTACCTGATAAAGCAAGATCAATTACTTCTCTGTATATGTACTTCTTCAGTTTTATCTATTCATACGGCTCTTTGATGTTGCAGTATAGTTATTACTTTGAATCGCAGTATAGGATTCGTATTAATTCTTCGAACTCAAAACAAATTTCTCTATGTATTTAGATCTATTCGTTAGATCAACACCATAACTTTTATCAAGTTTGATCAACACTAAGCTATCAGTATTTAGTATTTTTAGAGTAAAGTCACAGAGTGTTTATTCACAGATTATGGATTGAAGGGATAGTCTTATGTTCAACCGATTAACCAAGTAGACCAGTTAAGACTTGAATCATAAATTATTGTTGTGTGAGCTCTGAATAAGATAGAATGTAGACTGTTTTTCTATGGTATCTTTACTGTAGAATTCGCAAGGGTAAGATGTAGAATCAAAGCGGAAGCTTTCATACTTATTTTTATTCGGGTTTATAATAGCTTAATTAAATATGCTTCTATAGACTGTCAGAAAATGTTTCATATAGATCTATGCGTTGCTTTTGTTGTACTTGATTATAAATCTTGTAGAAAATAGACATATTTTCTTGAGGATAAAACTGTAAGGTCCTCAGTTGGATTACTGAATCGACTGGAATTTCGTTAAAGGGTAGATATCACTACATAATTTATAATGAAACTTGGAAATTCAGATTACATTTATGAAACAAATGAGCGTTTTTGGCAAAACTTCCTTAATCAATTATCTGTCTTTTAAACAAACATCATATATTAAGGTATGTTTTGAAATGAAATTACCCTGAAACATGACCAATAAACAAGAATATAAGACCTGTAAAACTATTTTTGTTACCAGAATAAACACTTACAATTAACTTAGTATCATCAGGGACTTTCATTGGTATAATCATATTTACGTCACTATTATCAATTAGTTCATCTCTAACAGATGTGAATTCTTTGATCTGTATAACTGGACACGTTCCAAATTGGCTAGGTAATACTAATTTCGTAGGATAAATACTCAAATACTGATTTTGTTCTGACGGTTGGAAATAACACAGAGTTCTGCCGATTGCGCGTGTATGTGAAACCACTGCACCAAAGATAATGAATGGATTTTCTGGCAATCCAAAACAATCCTGTGTGTCAACTATTTAGAAAAAAAATAACTTAAAGTAGATTTTTAAAAGCACTACTCTTGGAATTTATGGTAAACGTTGAATAGTTTTAGGGTTCTTTATTTGACTTTGTATATATTCTACGGAAATAAATTTCATCTAATAAATGAGCAGCAGTGATGTGAATTTTCGAGATAAGTTACTTCATCAAGGTCCAACGGAAAATTATAATTTTCTTCGATTCCATAATATTTACAAAAATATGATTGTACGTACAAAATTAAAAATATTTCTTCATAATTACTAGATGTGTGGTAAAAATTCTTCAAACAACTTGATAGTGTCAACTCACAAACAATAAGTCATAAATGAATCATATTTCTATGAACCTTTAGGCGAGAAAATTCCTAACGGATACTTAAATATGGAGCTCATATGCACTACTTACATTAATTACTGTTTTGTACAACATAGGTGTGGTAAATTTACATTTAAACCTTAAATTCTTGGGTCAGTACACAGAAGAATTGTTACATATAAACGTTATCGATAGAAAATTCTAGGTCCATCAGTTAGATGTAGAAGTTACAGGCATCAAACCAACTAGATATCTTCACTAAAAATTGTTTCGCTTAATAAGTAACTAACTGACTTGTATCAAGTAAGGTAATTATGAACCACTGGTAATGAATGAACATTGCCATATGGCAGAACTTGACTACATCAACATGTTTGTCAACATGATTTGGCTGTTTATATAAATTAAGACAAATAAACACCATACTTGATGCTTTTTGTAAAGCAAATTAAACGATCGGAAAAGTTATCATGTGATTTTGAATAACTGGTCAATCTCATACTTAAATGAATTTATAATAGCAAACATATTTCTCTCATGAAATCAGACATATTAAAAACTTTTGGTGTATAACTGTATATTTTAGATTTCATTACAGGAAAATAGATTGATGTGCTTGATCACTACGAATCTTATGTTAGCAACAGCGCTGTAGTTTAGCGTCCTCTTAGAAACTTATACGAAACCAAATAACGATGAAAGTTGTAAAACCTTAAATACTCAGCGATAGCGCATTACGGTATGTTTGTTGATGCATTCACAGAATAATGATGATTTAGTCTAAACTAATATCTTGAACTAAGGTTTCTCAAAGCGAAACTCCGTTTCATAAACTAACAGCTTCCTAAATTTGAAACTGCAAACCTTATCTAATTTGTAGTGTATGAATCTCCCACTATTTCTAAAAATGAAGCTCCGAGAAAAAAGGAGCCAAGATAATAAATATAGGCATAATCCTTGATTTGGTTTGGTGAAATTTTTCGGATCCTCAACTAGAACTCATTCCCAGTAGGCAGATAAACTAAAAACTCCCTTGCTAGGAGTATTAAATATTTTGCAATACTTTACGTTTATGATATATACATAATTTGTGTGGGTTCTGCACAATGATTATCTGTCAGATCAGCAAATGCATCTTGATCTATCACTTTGCGGAGCAGATAGTTTTTTCAGTTAAATGAATAAAATATCCACTCATCACTTCGTTATCTCTTTTAGTAAAGATGTATTTAAAGTTTCATCTAAAGTAATCAGTAGGCATAACATAAACTTACTTTTGATTGTCTTCGACCTCACAGAATAAATCCACAGCAGAAAAGCATATATATAAGTGGACAGAAAGCTGTTCATTATGATAAGTCACGCATATATTCGAATTATAGGGCGAGATATCAATAATTAACGGAAATCATAGACTAAAAACCAATAAACACAGAGCGAAATGATTTACAGCATAATTTAGCGAAAGAAACAATGAGAGAAGAAGACCAGCTGAAGCGGTAATTAATGGTTTCGAAATAAACAATGGTTCAAGTGGCTTTCAATACTCATTGGCAAACATTCTGATTTACGAATTTGAACGGACCAGAGAAGTCATTAATTAGCATTTAGCATGCTTGTGAATAGTCAAAGAAATATTTTCCTTGTACTAATCTACCGTGTTCAACGTTTTTGATCATATGAATAGCAATAACCAGACGATTTTTACACGGTGGCTTTCGTGTTTCTCAGCTTTCTTATATAGAATTTCCTGGGTCTGATAAGTCAACTATAATTACACAAACACAAAAAAGCGTTTTATTACTGGTTTATGATAACTACCTGACAAAATTAATCAGATTAAAATGCGTAATGTCAACCGGCGTCCAATTTAAGAAATACAGTGCAGTATTTCATTTACGAATACGAATTCCTGAACCAGTATTTTTCTTTAAAGGTGTACAAAACACAGTAGGGAATAACTTGTGACAAGCGGTTCTTGGATCAAATAAATTTATTGGCAATGCATGTTTAAGTCTACTCTGTGCTAAAAGTAAAGAATTTCCGAGTGAAGTTATAAATCCACTTTTTGAATCGTCACACAGTGATGTGTAGTCTGCGAGCGATTTTTCACTAAAGTTCATGAAGTATACCCAAAGAACATGCGGAAGATTGTCACAGTAAACTAATTAATGAGAATGATATTATAACTAACTCTCTTATACACTTAAAAAACAACTTTCACTAGTATTTCAGATGGTTGATAACAGTAGATATTTGGATTGCAGTATTTCGATTGACTCAAAATTAGGCTTCGAAAAAATATGGATCTCGAAGCAACCATAAGTCCGGGATCACTAAGCTTTTAGTCCAGCTTTGGACTTTGGTACGAAATTTTACACCATAAAACTTCTCGTCTTATGAAATGGTACTTGCACTTAGGTAGACTGTCTTTAGTATCTGTTAGTTCAAATTTTAAATTTTTTAACTACAAAATATGCCCGTTCTACGAATACATGGATTTATCCAAGTACCGCCATACAATTCTATGTTTATTATAAGGTAAGAACAAAATTCAGAACTAAGAGTTTGGTCAAAGTGATTACCAGCACGATAAGATTTTTTGCATCTCAATGACAAATATATGCTCAAGTATTCATATATAGATGCAATTTTTGTGCATATTGCGACTACTGAGAAAGGAATGCTGGGAAAGAACGTGCAAAACTAGAAAGTGATTTTCAATCTATTGATTAGAGCGTCACTCTACAACAAACGAGGTAACAGGAAAATGAAATGCATATGACAAAACACCAGAAACTCTGGTCTCCGATCTAATACGAATTAGCAGATTGAGAGAAAGGAACTAATGCTCAAAACCGGAGCACACAATTGTTAATTTAGCGTAATTGTGATTATGTTATTCATGGATTTTCGACATTAACATATGCTAACATGTTTCATACATTTTGAGGATGGAAATTAATCAGGTAATGAATACTCTCTTTGTATAAATTTTTCCAGTAAAACTCAATTAACCTTATATTGCTTATAGAGCAATATATTAACATCCTAATTGTTTTTGTCGAAGATATTATAAGAATAGTAATACAAAATATTTGAAGAAATGAAGTGAAGTAAATGGATATATAACAAAACAGCTGGCACAGGAAATGATATCTTCGGAAAACTCAAATCAAGAGACGCTCTGTGTACAAGGTCATGAATCTTGTGCTACCGTACGCTCTAGCTAAACTGTGAAAAATCTAACCTTGATTGGCCAAATTGAAAAAAACAATTTTTCCTTTGGACGCCAAGTCTGCGGGTTGTTGACTATAGAAACGTTATTGTTTTGTTATGTTTCCTGCTAAACTAGAAGGTTAAAAATGACTTGTTAACGTTAGTAAATTCAGTAAAATAAAAACAATATAATTCTCTTTCAGTGACCAGAGAACTAGAAGTACTTTGAGCTTACTTCTGGAAGATTCAGTTGGAAATGCTTTCATCAATCTCATCAGTATGAATTCCCATAACTTACTGAAGAAATATGAATGTTTAAAAACGTTTCGTTCTGAGTGCACTTTATTGACGTAACGTATCACAACTTTATCAAGGTGCTGAGGATTACGGACGACTCGATACATCAAAGCCATATCCTGTCAACAATTATTTGGCAATGGTTGCAAACTTGCGTATTGTAGGGAAAATTATAAGGGCTTTATTCTTAGTCTAAGCGCTCTATGATTTGTTCTAATTTAAACATCTTTCGAAAAACCAGCATTCTTTTTATAGTAAGAAAACTTGATACAATTTTGAACCTCCAGGTTAGATATAAGCAAACATTGAGAACGGTGTTGAAGAAACCTGTAGTCAGGCTACCCAGTATTCAAGAAAAAGGCCCACGGATGAATTGACTTTCTAAGCTTCCAGTTGGTAACAGAACGAGAAACCTCCGGCAGCATATAATACACTCCCGACGGTGAAGTGTATAATGCACTGGGATTCCCAATTCGATCGTTTCCTCAAATATAGCTTGTCGATCACTTCTCAACATTCAACCATAACAAAAGTCCCAAATACATATGGATGCCAACTTAGTGGTTTGGAGGTTAAGTATTCGCGCGCGAGGCTGAGGGCCTCAGGTTCGAATCCCGCGAGCGGGATCGTGGATGAGTCCCACAATAGAGCGAAACGGCCTACCAGTGCTCCCATATTTTGGATGGTTGTCTTACGTCGATCGGTTCCTGATCTGAATCAAAAACTTGATAATCTCCACAACCTTAATCTGATAAATGTATGAACAGTCAGTAGAATGTGTGATGTCTCTGAAAATATTCCGTACGACGTTAGACACTCTGTGTTTCTCTAGTAACAATAATTACTCACAAAATATTTCGATATCTGAGGATCAATACTGTACACCATTGGCATTTTTTCATTTACAAAACCTGTAGATATTATATTTTTGTTTGTTCGCTAGTGAATTCTGTTCAGAAAATCAAGATATCAGTTAATTAGGGTTTGCATTTTTAGATCTAAAGAACATCAGTGTTCAGTAGTCTTCGATTTTCTAGAGAATATGGTAGTTTAGCAGCCATTTTGAAAATTTTGTGTATGTATGCATACTTGTAACTTGTCCTTCTTGATCCCTCTATGTGTACACTCTTCTTATCATTTTGTTTCCACTTGAGATGGTACTGGTGTTAGTTTTTACCCTTCTTAAGCCTTCACTGAGTTCAAATATTTTTTATCGAACTGCATTTAGTATGTTTTAATTGATACGTAGTTTATACGGCAGCCACTTTTTATTATGCTGCTTGCATCGACTGGGATTATAAAATTTTGACTGTGTATTGGGTCACTCTTACATAATTGAAAAAATTGTGTTATAATCGAACTGAAGATTGGATTTATTATCCACCTGATTAAGACAGTTTGTCACAGTTAACCAACACAAACGTTCGGAATCCGAACACCTTATGCGGTAGAACATAATGCTATTCTATTCTTACAATTTCATATCTCTTTCCAGGTCATTTGCTATTAGCGTCCTGTCAGTGACACACTGATTTGCCAATCTCGATGACTAACACAGATATTTCAAGTCCATGCAACTTGATATACGCAATCGGCATACGAAATGTGACATCATGTCATTATCAAATGTATCACTTCATTTCCGTTGACCAACATGTGCGTGTGGTTATTTGGAAATATTAATCAGTTGTCTGTCTAACAATCTGCAATTTCATCATTATTTCAAGCTATAAATATTCGAGAAAAGTCGACGAATAGACATTGGACAACTCTAACACACTCAAATACGAAGCAGATTATACCTGTTTGATAAAATCTTGTATTTATTGCCCTATAACACAATTTCTTATTTAGCAGACATAGTATCATTGTCTAAATCCAAGGCGAAATACCATACAGTTGACTGTAACCTACTGCCAATCCGAAAATTGTGAATAAATAGAGACACAGGGACCAAACATATTCAACGATATCGATAGGTTCCATGAAGGCCTTTGGACCGCAACAAATTATTATTGCTACTGTTATTCCAGCGCAGTACTAGCGGAAAGAGAAAACATCCTAACAAAGAACAAATGGTTGAAATCTGGAGCAGGATCTGTCGGAGTTTCTCAACAAACCTGGAAGATTTTTTGTTCCATTTGAAGTGCATTAGTCTTTGCTCTCAGTAAATCGACAGGCTTATATACCAACCAGACAGACCACACTGTACCATAAAATATGAACAACATTTGTACAAGAATCGGACAAATGTGGCTGTGAATGATGAAGGTAGTAATTAATAGACAGAGCATAATTCAAGAATAGTAGGTCGTATAATAATAGTTCACAGGTGGAAATAAAGCTCATAGTAAAAGGGACATGAATATGAACAGTTTAGTTGTTTACCAATTATACGGTAAAAATATACGCACATTATTGGTTCATAAATGGATCCCAAAAGTTACCAATCATTATGCTTATGGGGACCTAACAGGCTGCAACTTCATGATCACTGCCTGGAAACTGAAGTTATGTAGATCCTGTATATGTGGATTCATAGTGTGGGAAAATGAAGTCCCTTTGGCCCACTTATCTAGTGGCTTTATTGGATATCGGTCTACATCCGTTTCTAGTTTCTAGGGAATAACGAGTTTGCTTAAATTAACAGCTAACCTGAATAGTTAAGAGGCATCAGACCAGTAGTGAGGTTAAGAGTTGGTCCTTCATAATTTATGTAGACAGAATCCGCAATAACTGACAACACGATGAGCAAAGTTCTTATTAATATTGGCGAGTAATATCTAAAAAGTGGATTGCTAATAGTATTATGAACGTTGTAATTCAATTTTTCTCAGATTTCATATTACCAATTGAAGTTTCTTCGGTAATACCAAACTACTAGGCGAAGTTTTAGGAGG